AGTGCTACTCTACACTGCTCAAAACTCACGTTTGAATCATCAGTGGCAAATTGTTTAAATATAAAAAATGTACTTACAGGCTGTGAGTCAGAAGCACCAGACTGTCCTTTCAAAGTTGGAACTGCCCCACTTTATAAATAGAGCCCACAGCGAGAATAAAAGTTAGCCTTCTTTCTTTGCATGAACATTTGGGCGGTGTTATGCAAATCTTCCCACACAGTGACGTAGACATGTGGGGGCGTGTTTAAACGAGGTGTTTTAGGAGGGCGTGGACAAGTCTTAACTTTTATAAAGAATATCTCTTTGGGTTTGAGACTTTAGTCTTTGCAACTTTAGGGATCTTATCTATGCATGAACAGCTTGTAACACTCCAGAGAGAAAGGAAAATTTGAAATTGCATCATATGACCCCTTTAAAAAAACTATATAACTACTGGACAACCGCATAAACTAAAACTAGCCACGCTACGACCTTGCCAATGAGACATTTAGTTAAAATTAAAGCTTCGATATTTTTAGGTACGCTAATACCCAGCTTTGGGTATCCATAGCCTACATATTGAATAGGCTTACCTATCAAATTTCTCTCGATTGCATATTTGTCCACTCACTCACACATGAGGCTCGAGGCGCGGAATCCTCAAACCGGTCACGCAACGTGTGAGAAACACCCGCCTCTCACCTGTATAGTCAATGAGTGTTTAGAACAGAGAAAAGTGTATACTGGATATCATTGACACCGGCGCGAACACCTGACGAGAGAGAGAAAAAAATTCTCCGGCGAATTATAAACTCTACATACTTGATTTTCGTTGTTTTTGTTGTTAATTTTTCGTCAGTTGGTGGAATATCACATGGAAAGGGGTCTTTGTTAAGAATAACCTGGCAAAATGTCTTCATTATATCAAACGCATCGGACCCAATAACATTAAATCCAATCCAGGCTAAACAAGGTAAATATATAACTTCATCTATATTCTTTTAGTAGTATAGTAAGTTTAGAGTTCTGATGTCTTCATATTTATTACTTTTGTAGGTGCGATAATAAAGTGAATATCTGAGATTCGGTTATAGCCTATGTCAATAATGAAATACAGGTACTAATATGACGTAAAAAAAAAGCAATTCAGTGAGGAAAAGCTTACATGAATGATTCTGAACAGTTTTAGACAAAGAAGCGCACTAAGAAAACTAGTGAGAACAAACTTTAAATCATCAGCCTTTTTTATTATTTTTATGGCTATTATTATTTTTGTGTATATATACTTTTTGTTTGTTATTTTATTAAATATATCACCATTATTATTATTATTATTATTATTATTATTATTATTATTATATTAACCTTTATATAAATAACAAATTACATTATAATAAAAATATATAAATCTAGAATTGTGCAATAAAACATACTATACCATATAATGCTTTAAAGTGGTCAAACTGTTTTGTTTTATTTATTTATTTAGTTCGTTTTTGGAGAACGTTATCTGGTGTGTACAGGTCTATTAACTTAATCAAGTATAACAAAGCTGATCTCAGGCCAACCAGCTGATCATCCATGTAGATCAGCTGGAACCAGCTACTGGCCATAAATGACCATCAGAAGGGTAACACTAACCTTGTGTCTGTGCTATAGCACAGCTGCCATCATTCTATCAGCAAATATTCAGGTTCTTTCCATGGGATGGTTATTTTTCAGTACAATGATTAATTATAATGTGTGCCCTACCTACTGTAAAAGCTACTGTCGTACATTGTCTGAAATGTTACTGTAAGTGACTAAAACAGACCATCACAAAAAATTATATTTGCAACAATACATGCTTACAGGTTGTTGGCTTTATACAGTAGAGGCTGCTGTTAAAGAACGGCATTCTCATTTGACAGTGGATGTAAGATTGTAATAAAATGTCCACTGAAGGCGAGCGTTGTGAGAACCCAAGTGGTTTTATTTATTATAGCAGATAAACAATACACACAGACATGGCTTGGCTTGGCTTGGCTTGGCTTGACTAGGCAAAACAAGAACATTGACATGGACACAACTCACCAGCAGAAGTTACAGGCAACAAAGCTAGACAATGGACAATGAAACAAAACCCAAAACCAACATTACAAAGATGTGCTCAATAAGAGGCAATCAAACATTTACTATTACGTTTTCAATTAAAACATTTTCAGAATGATAAATACCTTTGTGGTAATTATTAATGAATTTTACATTTACATTTAGACATTTAGCAGACACTTTTATCCAAAGCGACTTACAAATGAGGACAATGGAAGCACTCAAAATCAACAAAAGAGCAATGATATGCAAGTGCTATAACAAGTCTCAGTTAGCTTAATGCAGTACACGTAGCAAGTTTTTTTTTTAAATCATATAATAAATAAAAAGAAAACAGA